GAACTCTAACATTTCTCTGGCAAAATGCCAGGCGCCATCCTGACTTGTTTACAGACCTTAACATGGGTCTAGGAAGAACAGTGCTGTCCCCAGTGCAGTGGTGTTCCTTCTTTTAGTCTGGAGACACACAGTGTGGTAGTGAAGGCCAGAGGCTTTGAAATCACAACAACCTGGGTTTGGTTCACCATTTTGCTTCTTAATATTTGTATGACATTAATTACATGGTTTCTCATTTCCTGATCTTGTAAAAGGGAATAATGAAATCTGTCCCACAAGGTGTTAGACTGAAGTGAAATCATTTATATGAATCTTTTAACAAAATGCCCTGCACATAACTGTCAGCTCCTATTATCATTGCCGTTTGTCATTCTTGATCCAATAATGTAGTCATCATTGCTGTCAGATTTTTCATGAATTGCTCCAAAAGGTGGTAACTATGTTGGAAAATATGCCAGGTGCAAAGAATTTAATCAATTCTCTTCCATGTGTACCATGGACTCTGTTGCCACCTGCCTCCTCAAATATATTGTATTGTTGATTATTATTCCTTCACTTTCCCCACTCCTTTTTTTTTTTTTTTTKGGTGGTAGTGGTGCAGTGGTGCTGCTGGGGATTGAACCCAGGACCTTGGGCATGCATGGCAAGCACTTTACCAACTGAGCTATATCTCCAGCCCCTCCCCTTTTTTTCTAAAAAAAAATTAAGGTGAAATTGAACCATTTTTTTTTCTTTTTTTAAAGAAAGAGTGAGAGAGGAGAGAGAATTTTTTTTTAATATTTATTTTTTAGTTCTCGGCGGACACAACATCTTTGTTGGTATGTGGTGCTGAGGATCGAACCCTGGCCGCACGCATGCCAGGCGAGCGCACTACCGCTTGAGCCACATCCCCAGCCTGAAACTGAACCATTTTAAAGTGAAGAACTCAATGATATTTAGTACTTTCACAATGTTGTGCTGCTCTATTGTTACCAAACATTTTTAATCACCTCAAAATGAAACTCCATACTTTGCCCTGTCCCCCAGCCCTGACAACCACCCATCTGCTGTCTCTACAGGTTTAGCTCTAGCTCTCCTGGATTTCATTTAAACGAACTCACACAATACCTGGCCCTTTACATCTGGCTGCTTTCACTCAGCATGCTTGTATCACACGTCAGTACTTCATTCATCTTTACGGCTGGCTGAATAGTGTCCCGTTGCCTGTACTTGCTTCATTTTGTTATTCCACTCATGGGGTGATGAATATTTGAGTTGTTATACCTTTTCTTTTTTTTATTCCCAGTGCTGGGGATGGAAGTCAGGGCACTTGCCCAGCAAGTGTGCTATCACTGAGCTTCATCCCCGGCTCATGTTTCCACTTTTTGAGCATTGTGATGGGCTGATAAGAACATCCAYGGACAAACAAGTGATTGTTTCACCATCTATTTTCAATTCTTTTGAGTGCATCATGAGAGTAGAATTATCAGATCATATGGTGATTCTACATTGAACTAACCGAAGAACCACTAAATGGTTTGCACAGCCACCAGGCCATTTTACATTGTCTTCTACAATGTATGAGGGTTCCAATTTCTCTGGTCTCACCACATTGGCTAGTAACTGTTGTTTTTGTTATAGTCATCCTGGTGGGTACAAAGTGGCATCTCAGTTTGGTTTGATTTTCATTTCCATAATGAATAGTGATTTTGAGCGTTTTTTTCATGTGTTTGATGGTCATTTGTATATCTTCTTTGCAGAAATGACTTTTCAGGTCACAAGTCCATGTTTTAACTGGGTTCTGTATCTGTTTCTTCTTGATTATAAGAGTTCTTTGTAAATCCTGGAAACTAGACTCTTACTGTGTGTATATTTTGCAAATATTTTCTCCCACTCCATAGACTTTTTATTTTCTTAATATTGTCCTTAGATGCACAAAAGTTCTTAATTTTGAGAAGTCCAATTTATCAATTTTTTTTCTTTTGTTTCTTTTGTTCTCGGTGTCATGCCTAAGAATYCATTACCAAATTCAAAGTCATGAAAATTCATCCTCATGTTTTCGTCCAACAGTTTTGTGGTTTTAGCTCTTACGTTTTTAGGTTATCAAWGCATTTTGAGTTAATTTTTGTATTTAGTGTGAGGTCAATGTCCAACTTCATTCTTTGTATGTAGATATTCATTTGTCCTAATACCATTTGTTAATGAGACTGTTCTTTCCCCCACTGAATGGCGTAGACTCTCTTGTTGAAAATCAATTTGCCATAGTTGGATGGGTTTATTTCTAGACTTCCAGAACAATCCCATTGGTCTACATGTTTATCTTGTGCCAATACCACACCGTTTGATTTCTATAGCTCAGTATTAAGATTTGAAATCAGAAGTGTGAGTCTTTTACTCTCCTCCTCTTTTGCAGTATGATTTTAGCTCTTCAGGGTCCCTTTAATTTAAAGATGAGCTTTTCCATGTCTTCAAAACAGGCTTTTGGAATTTTGATAGAAATTATGTTGAGCTGTTAGATAGTACACCCAGCAGCCCCTCCAGGGCCCTCTCGCTCTCTGGGAGTTCTGTTTCTATCCACACATGAATAAATCCTACTTTTACACTCACTCATCATTGTCTGTGGATATTGTTTTTCAAATTCACAAGAGACAAGAACCCAGACAGAAGACACTGGCAGTGAGCTGCCGGGCCTGCTGCAATACGTGCAGGTGTGTGCTCCACTACTGAACCACAACCCAGCCCCCTTTTTATTTTTTATTTTGAGACAAGATCTCACTAAGTTGTCACCCTGGTCTTGTGACTCCTTCTCCCTCAGCCTCCCCAGTAACTGGGATTACAGGCATGTGCTACAAAGCCTGGAAAAATGTTTATAGCTTTTGGTTCAGTAATTCTGGCTAGAAATTTATCCTGAAGAAGTAACTGGAGATATGTATTAGAACTCTTTGTTGTAAAAATCATAAGCCATATAAATAAGAGAAAATTATAATATAAATTGTGACATTTTATTATGCAACCACTAAAACTAGGCTTTGAAAAAATATTTAAAGACCTGAGGAAATGTGATATAATGCAATTAAAAAGTCAGACTCAAAACTAAATATAATAAATGATATGATGTATTCATACATAAATAAATGAATATATAAATGGAAAAATATTAGAAGGGAATATCTATATAAACAGGTTTTTTTACATAAAAATTTGCAAATTTATTTTTTCCTTTCTATTATGCTTTTATTTTCTGTTTATTTTTTATAACAAGTACCATTTTTATTATACTGAAAAACAAAATGTTGACAGGAATTTATTTCAGAATATATTTTTACTTTCCAACTTATTTATTTACTTATTTTTTTGTGGTGCTGGGGATTGAACGAGGGCCTCATGTGTGTGAGGCAGAGCACTCTACTACCAATGAACCACACCCTCAGCCCTCAAATATTATTTAAAGTTCATTAGGTCTTTATGACTAATAATGAAGTTCTTTCCTTCCTGCTTTTCTATTCCCAAAGCAAATTTTTGGTATATTTTGTATTTAGCTCTATAAACTTTTATTTATAAAATTTTGGGCTGGAGATGTGGCTCAAGCGGTAGCGCGCTCGCCTGGCATGCGTGCGGCCCGGGTTCGATCCTCAGCACCACATACCAACAAAGATGTTGTGTCC